CTCGCATGTGACAGACGCGGATACTCACCACTATACTACCGAGGACCCGTACTTGCAGTCGTAATCGCATTTGTTCCTCTCATGCCATAATTTAACGGGAAAAGCCAGCCTCTTAGGAATGTCTCGATGCACAATGAATGGTTGGTTGACGACAGGTACTACGAAAACTTACCTAGTAAGCAGGTCCATTGTGAAGCCATAGTAGTTGCCCACCGACTTGTCATATTGAATTCCTTTCGCGCTCTGTCAGATTACTGGCATAGGGTGGCTTTCTCGGCGAAACCATAAGACGCACCTCACCTTCCATAATCAACGAGAAAGATTTTTTTAAAATATTCTAGCTGCTCATTTCGATTCAACCGTCAATGAGAGCAGCTGCCTTTCAGATATAGTCAGCGTGCGTGGGAAAGGAACCGCTCAGTGACTTTGTTGTCTGCTCAGTTGTCTGTCTACCCTTTCGACTAGCCTCGACTACTTACAGAATAGTTGCTTTTATAGCAACCAAGGTCAACATATATACGCGAGTATAAGAGCGACCCATCGCTGATTCAACCTTCTATACCAAAACTAAATATGCCAGGTGCATCCACCCGAAATGATTGGTTCCGGCTGTCAATGCCTCTTACTGTTGCGTCCGATCTGACGATCTCGCACTCGTCGGCCTTGATCACAAAACTTTTTTTAGGGGAATTTTCAGATTTTTCCGATGCATAGGACAGGCAAGTTTCACATAACTAGTTTTGGCTCAAAATTAACCTTTGATGTATAGGCCGGAGGTAGAATATAGGATGAAGTTCGTCCACCCACTGCTTATCATGCACATTCCGACAGTTCTTTGAGCCCCAATATCGTTATTATTACTATTATTGGTACTGTTATTATTGTCTGTCAGTTTCATATAAGAATGTAAAATTCCTCATTCAAAAGGAGGCTTTCGGAATGTTTTGGAAGTATTTAAAAACCGGGCACTTTCGAGGCCGTAGTTGCTACTTCGTTCATTGTTCGCATCACATAAACCAAGGTTGTTAATTCGGTAAGCAAGGATGAGCGGGTAGCGAGAGAGACGATAAGAAAAGTAAACAAATTTTTCAACTCAACAATCCAGTTGTCAGTTTGCATGAGGATTTTGTGCTTGGCAATTTATTGTACTGCTTATTTTTCCGATTACTCTTTATTAACCGTGATTTTCACTAAGCTTTATTTTGTAGTTGTATTTGTCAGAAAGTGTCGCTCGAATATGGACTGTTGGATGGGGGCGTGCACCTGCCGTTTAAAGAGAGCGACGTGATCGTGTTGTAAAAGTCGCGAAATCACCCGATCTCCCGAACTGACTCTTCCGTCAAACTTCCAAACTTCAGCATAGCAATGTCTTTATAGTACAGGACCAATGTAGCACCAAATGTTTCATTTCGCCTTCCAGTCATTAAGCCTGAAGGGATGAAGTTTTTGGCGTTGATCAATCGTTCTCAAATAGAATAGGCCCCTGCAGTCAACGGAAATGATTAGAGCAGCTCCAAGGAATTTTCTGATCAAATTTCTTCTGAAGCATTCAGAATTCAAAAAATACGCGTTAGTGATGAGGTTCTTTTGCGACTTACTATTAGTCGAAATTTCATGTCGCTGCGTTATGGCTTTCCAAACTTGTAGGAATCATAAACTTCTTCACTTGTTGCAGGAAACAGGAACAACCCAATGAATCTCTTCACACCGGGAAAAGGTTTCTATGAAACTCATGTTACGTGGGAAGATATCGAAAATGATATGCAACGTGAAATGGGCACTTCAGCATCATTCGGGCCCAATAAGTCTGTAAAAGATTTGGGCGACGGCAGGGTAAGTACTAAAGCTACAGAAACGCATTTCAAAATGTTTTTCAATTTGTTCTCGGGAAGAAGGTACTAATTTGGTAACTCTCACTGGAACAGTCACAAATAGCTACTCCAGAGTTGAGCTCGCGTGTTGAAAAATTTTCATTTTGAAAGGTAGTGGCTTTTCAGGTGTGTACATTGGTCCACTTAGTGGTTTACAAATGTCAGTTACTGTCCAAACCAGAATTTTCACATTATTGAACAATTACGATATCAGATAAACGTCCTCAAAAAGATGAGAGTGATGGTTAACTTCGAAGCGTTCGAGTCTCGGTCTGATCCTGAAGGATACCTGGGGTACACAGGAAAGTTTTCCCGGGAGCATGCAAACTCATGCAGAATTCGATTATTTCTCTGGTAGATGTGGTGCAGTGGGATACATGGACACACTTAGAACGACACTAGGGACCAACAATTTATGGACCACGTAGTGAACGGTTTGCTCTTTCCCTGTCCTTGGCCGATTTCTACTTTTAACCGTATCCGTGAAATTTCACATTGACCCAACGCCCTTTTTTCATATTTCGACGAGACTTTGCTCTCCACTGAGTCATTTCTCACCAGTGTGCAAAGCAAGACATAAAACAGGATCTTCGAAATAGAAGACTATTTTGACCCATATCTTTCAGGGTTTCATGTCGAAGCTTCTCCTCATTGAAGCCGATTGGCGGCAACAGGATATGGAACTCCCCAAAAAGTTCATACTCAAGGTCAGAGTGCAGTCAAATTGAAAATAATCAACCTCGCTGATATATACGTAGACCGGGATCACTCATCAATTCCGTCAATGGCCTCATTGAAACGAGAAAGTGATACTTTTTTTTTACTTGGCAGTTAATGCGTCCAGGTCAGATGCCAAACCGAGTAGTACCAGGATGGGTCCAAGTTGAGTAGTAAACGAGTAGCACCAGTCTTTCCACGTCTCTCTAGCGTGCACTATGTACATCTCGGCCTCATCTCACTGAAACGAGCTTGACGACAGAGTCGGAAAGTGGTACTATGTACTTTCCATATGACTCTTATCTACGTGTATTAAACCTCAAACATTTCTTTCCGGGTAGAGGGATGGTACACTACAGGTCACCGAAAAGATACTCCTTTTATCCATTGAATTTTTTGACGGGTAATATTATCTTCTTTGTAGGTCCCACTCGTTATTGTACGGTATAAGATCTCGTTTGTAGGGTTTAAGCGACGTACATACTCGTGGTCCTGTTTACAGTATACCCTTGAGTAGGAGCCATTTTAATGATCTCGCAGCATCGCAAGAATAAATGATATAATCAATCCGGAACCTTTTACTTTACTCTTGACTTTATCATTCTTCAGACTGATGGCTATGATGCTGTGTTCAGGTTATCACTCCTTCTGTCTGGCTAAAATACGCAACTGAAGCGTCGAAAGAGAAGAACACGAAAAACCGCTTTTGTGATGAGTCGCCTGTTTCTGATTTCACAGATTTTCTGAAAAAGGCGAGTCAAAGTCAAAAAATCCATGATATATATAAACCGCTAACTTTGTGTGTCCGTTTGTATGCCCGTTTGTGCGTCCTTCCAAAAGTCACGTAGGCAAATGATTAAATGCGTTATCAATGAAGCAGATACATATATTTCATTAGATGAGAATCTAAGGTCATTAGCGGTCGGATAAGTCTTGCCAAAAGTGATATCGAAGCGAAGAAGAGCCATGTTCCTTCACTAAGTTACAAACATTGCTGGGAGCGGTCGTAAAAAACGTTCTCCTGACTATTTACTGTCATGCTAAATCCCTATACTATGGACGATTCAACCATCGGTTCGCAGCCAACTGAGAGAGGAGAGAGGTTAGGCTTCGTGGACAAGTAAACTTTCTGCTCACGAATAATTTTTACAGAAAGTACCCTGCATTTAACCTTTTTTCCAGACTAGACGCGTATTTTTCTGTAGAAACATAACCGGAAATCCATAGAAATCTCATTAACGAAATCTCTAATTCTAAATAGGATTTTGCTCACAGATGCGCACTCCAAAGAACTATCCACTTCACAATACT